ATTTGAACTCAGGTCCTCCTGACTTCAGGGCTGGTGTTCTATCCACTGCGCCACCTAGCTGCCCCAAAAAGAACTGACTGATAGAGTTTGCATGAGGATCAAAGCATACTGTTTAAAAACTTTCATTATTTTTCTTGGGTTGGTTTTTTTTGGTTTGTGTTCTTTTTTGCAATATGGTTAATATGGAAACATGTTTTGCATGACCTCATATGTATAATCTATATCAAAGTGCTTACCTTCTCAAGGAGGGGAGAAGAAAAGGAGGGAATTTGGAACTCAAAAAATATTTTTTAAAAATGAATGTAATTGAGAAAAAATAAAATAAAACATTCTTTTTTTTTAAGTCAGTGGAGATGGGATTGAACTGGAAATTGAAGGATAAATGGGATTTCAACAGGAAAAGGGAGGTAGGGAAGGCATTTCAGGTGGGAAAATGGGGTGTGAAAGGGCAGCAATGTTTAAAATTTGTTCTAGGGGCAGCTAGGTTTCAGTAGATAGAGCACCAGCCCTGAAGTCAGGAGGGCCTGAGTTCAAATTTGAACTCAAACCAAACCCTTGACTCGTACCAGCTGTGTGACCTTGGGCAAGTCACTTAAGCCCAATTATCTAAAAACAAAAAAATTTTTTTTTAATTTGTTCTAGAGGACAGAGGTCAGACCAACTTGATTCAAGAGAAGGGTTTAAATAGGAAGAGAGCTGAAAAGTTAGGGTGGGGCCAAGTTGTGGAAGAACTTGAATGCCAAACTAAGGAATTAGGACTTGATCCTCTAAAGAGTTTTTGGTAGTGGAGGGATATGCTTGTAATACACATAATGGATTGAAGTTGGCAGAGACTAAGAGCTGGGAGGCCATTAGGGAGATACTCCAATAGTGCAGAGGTGACGAACAGTAAAGTTAAAGTATCTATCCAGCCCCAACCTCTCTGCTGACTTCCAACCTCACATCTCTAACTGCCTTTCAGACACCTCGACCTGGATGTCCAGGAGACATCTTAAACTAAACATGTCCAAAACCGAATTCTATCTTTCCTCCCAACCTCTCCCTCCCTCCCTTCTCTGTTATCGCAGAAGGCAACACCATCTTCCCAGGCCTTCAGGCTCACAACCCAGGCGTCATCTTTGTCTCCTCATTATCTCTCACCACACCCCATATCCAATCTATTGTCAAGATCTGTCCATTACACCTTTGCAACATATCTCCAATACACCCTCCTCTCCTCAGGTGCAGGCCCTCATCACCTGACGTGTGCACTATTGCAACATCCTGCCGGTGGGTCTACCTGCCTCCAGTCTGTCCCCACTCTAATTTATCCTCTCTTCAGCCACCAAAGTGATTTTCCTAAAGCACAGGTCTGACAAAGTCACTCCCCTAGTCAATAAACTCTAATGGTGGGGCAACTAGGTGGTACAGTGACAAAGTCACTCCCCTAGTCAATAAACTCTAATGGTGGGGCAACTAGGTGGTACAGTGGATAGAGCACTGGTACTAGAGTCAGGAGGACCTGAGTTCAAATGTGATCTCAGGTCAGACACTTGACACTTACTAGCTGTGTGACCCTGGGCAAGTCACTTAACCCTGATTGTCTCACCAAAAAGCAAAAGAAAATAAAAATAAACTCTAATGGTTCCCTATTGCCTCAAAGATAAAATATAAAATCTGGTGTTTGGAATTTAAAATTCTACAAACCTACTTCCCCTTCTCCTCTACCTTTCCAGTCTTCCTACACCTTACTCCAGACATGTACTCTTCCATCTTGCAACCCTGGCCTTCTGGATTTTCCAGGAACAAGTCATTCCATCTTTCACCTCCAGTCATTTTCTCTGGTTGAACCTGCCTCCTCTCCCTCCTCAACTCCACCTACTGACTTCTCTGGCTTCCTTTAAGTATGAACTAAAATCCTATCTTTTATAGTAAGCTTTTCTCAGCCCCTCATAATTCTTGTGCTTTCTCTCTGTTAATTATTTGCTATTTATCCTGTATATAGCTTGTTTGCATATTGTCTCCCCCATTTAGATAGTGAGCTCCTAGAGCTCAGGGACTGTTTTTTGACTATTTTTGTATTCTCAGTACTTAGCACACAGTAAATGTTTAATAGATTGATTGGTTGATTGATAGTAGTGAAAGAGAGAAGAATGGATGGAAGAGAAAGTATAAAGGAAGACTATAGGAAAAGCCTAGGTGAATGATTCTATTTGGGTATCAAGAAAGAGGAATCAAAGCTAAATCATTAAGAAATTTCCATATAACAAGATATACAGATTATCAAAGAGCCGCAAGAGATTAGGTTAGAGGACTTAGAGAAAGGGTCATCTACAAATCCAATTTAATTCACAAGCCAGGTTAAGGAACAGCCAACCCCAGTGATCTCTAAAAACAGGATAGACAACGTACAACCTGTTCTAGGTGGCTTAGGTGTGGAATATGCCTGGAAGCAGTGGGCTGGCCTAGATGACCCCTAAAACATGCTCGTTCTATAATTCTGCATTATGAGGAGTTGGAGAACTCTATCTGAGCAACAGTAGTAGCCACATTACCAATGATTAAAGGAACCATCTTACTTAAAGTTCTCTAAAAATACTTTCAAAAGTTTCTCAACCAATCAACAGGCATTTATAAAATGCCTAAAATGACAGTTGCTATTTACTCTTCCTACTGAAAGCAGAAAATGTCCTTTAGAAGATCTGGAAGGGACCTCAGATATTATCTAGTCTAGGACACCTTAATCTGGTGTCTTTAAGAAAAAGACTGATAACTATATTACTGGCTTGCTTTGTAATTTTATGTATTCTATTTTATGCATTTAAAAGCATTATTCTGAGAAGGAGTCTATACGCTTCACGAGACTGCCAAAGGGGCCCAGGACACACACAAGAACGTTAAGAACCCCAGATCTAATCCAACACTTTCATTTTTACAAATGAGGAAAATCTTATAAATCTTGAAAATTGTACAGGTGGTCAGTAGAAGAGTCAGGATTCAAACTCAGGTCCACTGACTCCAAATTCCGTGCCCTTGCCCCTAAATTAAGCTGCCTCTCTAATCCATAATTGTTTCTGAATCAAAAAAAGGAGGAAAAAAAATAGGGCGGGGGAGGGGAGAGGGAACACTACAAAGGAAATGAATTGTTCAGGAGGTGTCTCCACTGGAAGAGATGAAGATAAGTAAATTGATGTATTTGACCTTTCATGCAACTGAGTTTGATATCAGTTCAAACTAGCAGTTCCAAAATATCACAGTAGGGTATTTCTGTTTAAGCTGATTGTCTCTCCCTTATTTTAAGCTAGTTACTTGATAAATTCTTTTTTTTCCCAAGAGGTGTTAAATCATCTAAGGTGCAGAAATTGTCTCTACAATTTTTCTTTAAGAACCACTGCGTTTCAGAGAACAGGGAGCAGAACCAGAACAATTTATACAATAACTGCAACATGGTAAAGAGAACTCTGAAAGACTTAAGAGCTCTAATCAGGAAGGATTCCAGAGGAACCATGATGACACATGCCATTATCCACCTTCTGACAGAGAGGGGAAAGACTCAGAGTACAAATTAAGACATGTCTTTCTTGGATATGGCATACCTATGCATATTTGTTATGAAGGTTGTGGTCTTTTTTTTTTCTTTTCCCATTTTTTTTTGGGGGGAGGATAAGGTAGGAGCAAGAGAAAATAGAATTTTGTTAACTAAAAAATTAAAGTATCAAAATACTGCATTCTTTACTGTCTCTAGTATTATAGTACTTTTGTGTGCTTGTAAGGTAGACTAAACAGTTGAGACAGACAGAGACAAAGAGATGTGGGGGAGAAGAGGGAGGAGAGAGAGAGAGGGGGGGGTCCCACTGGAGAACTGGAGAGTAGTTTCTGGAAACCATATGTGGTAAGGACTTACCCAGAGGGGAAAAGATATTTTACCCTGCCACCAAACCAGCCTAAGACAGAATCACCCATTCCAGATGCTAGAGACTAAATAAGAGCGACTAACTGGAAGTCTAGTGATGATGATAGGTCTTACCAGATGCTTACACTCCCTTCTGGGGTCTGTGGCTCTAAATATATTCCCAATTGTGGATGTGGGTAAGATCTTTCACTTGGGGACATAAGATTTCTCTCCCTCCCTCCACTTCCCCCCAGTCTTTAGCTGTATGGTAAAAGGAGATTTTTGAAAGAAAGAAAAAGAAAAAAAAAGAGTAGCAGTATTTTGAATTGTCTAACCTCATATTCATGACCAAATTGGATTTCCATTCTTAATATTCCTTCTCCCTAACAAGCTCAAAACAGAAGATAAATCTGTTGAATTGTTACCATTATCTGAGAAATAAGCCTTAGTGTCCCTGTTTTTTACATTTGTGGATACTTTAATTCCACAAACATTAATTAAGCACCTTGTTGTTGTCCTTCTTACTTGAAGAGGTTCAAAATGAAAACACAATGTTGGGAATCAAGGTACAGTGTGGCTGTGGGGCTCGGAAAGCTCTCTACCACAGGTCAAACACAAATAATTTGTACGGACGTTTGGGAAGGAGAGGGCTCTAAATTTGTTCATCTCATGTTTCCTTTGAGCTACTTCAATTCTGCTTTGCTCATGGAGCACAGCACCTTCTCTGATGCAGTCACGCCTTTGCCAATGTCTCCCATGTCTCACAATCAATACCAAAGTTCTTCAGAGAGACCTTGAGAGTGTCCTTGTATCACTTCTAACCTCTGTGTGAGCACTTGCTTTGTTTAGTTCTCTGTAAAATTGTATTTTAGGCAAATGTACGTTTGGCATTCAAACCTGGTAGAAGCAGGATACTTAACTCACTGTGCAAGGTGCTAGAGGATATATAAAGCTTAGATAAGCCACAATCCCTGCCCTCCTGGCAATCTAGTAAAGGAAAAGGCCTTAGAGCTAAATTAGCAGTGCAATAGGGACATTTATAGAATTAGAAATCAAATCCTTTTAAAACATTGGATTTAAAACTGGAGGCACCTTAGAGAAGATCTAATTCAACTTACTTATTTTACAGATGAAGAAAACTTCCAGTTGTGACTTTCAACATGTCCATTTCTGTGAAAATGGAGGTAAGACTAGCTGTCTATGGGCAGGCTTCTCATTTTTTGTTAGTTTTGACTTGTTCCTTTAGCAAAAAAGTAACTAACCATTCAAATTATCCTTCAAGTTCTCTTTGGCACGGAGGCCCTCAGAATGCAGATAAGGAGCTAAAACTAAGGGGAAGGACTGGAGTTTGGAGAATAGCTACAATATATTCATCCTCTCTTTCTATGCTGTCCAGCAAGAATCCCCTCTAGCAGGGTCCAAAGGAAAAGAGAAAAAAAAAAGCAAACTCTTAACCAGTAGGTCCAAAAAACATACATCTTCTCCTTCCAAAGACTGAACCAGTCATTCTCAATGACTAGGTAACCTTAATATAACCCATCTTCTGGAGTCTCTCAAGGGACCCAGGTCCAGACAGACAGACAGACAGACAGAGCTCCAGACAGGAAATCCTGGCTCTGTATCTTAAATCTTAAATTGTCAAGTTCATGGTTGTAGGATCACAGCATTCAGCTGAAAGGGATCAGGCATTTAGTCTAGCACCTTCATTTTACAAAAGGGGAAACTGCAGCATAGAGAGATCGGTGTTAATATTTTTAGGAGTGCAACCAACAGCTCACCCCACCAGCCTCGGTCGGATATTAACAGTTATTGATATGGTGATGATACTAGCAACAGCTTAAATGCATGTAACGTACTATGATAATAAACAAAGCACTTTTCCAGACAGTTCCTCAACCCAAAGCAAACTTGTATGAATTGATACAGATCAAGAAAAGCAAAACTGGGAGTACACCATTCACCATGACTACAATAATGTAAATTAAAACACCGAAAGACTAAAGTCAGATTAAAAGGCAGCAACCAACACAATTTCCAGGAAAGAGATGAAGAAACACAATCTTCTCAGTAGAGAAGTGTAACACTAAGATGTGGAACATTACACATAAGTGGGGGGGGGAGTGTAGTGGGAAAAGTCTAAGAGGTAAAAGACCACTAAATAAGCTTAGCAAGAGGGAGCTGCCCCACTTACTTCTCAAGCCCCTCTGCTAAAATCTAGAAGTTGTTCAGAAGAAGAAATCAAACCTATCTAGCCATGTGAAAAAATGCTCTAAATCACTTTTGATTAGAGAAATACAAATTAAAACAACAGAAAAGAAAAATGTTGGAGAGGATGTGGGAAAATTGGGACAATAATGCACTGTTGGTGGAGTTATGAACTGATCCAACCATTCTGGAGAGCCATTTGGAACTATGTCCAAAGGGCTATAAAAGTGCATACTCTGACCCAGCAATACCACTACTAGAAGTATATCCCAAAGAGACCCCCCCCCAAAAAAGGGGAAAGGACCCATATACAGAAAGATATTTATAGCAGCTTTTTTGTGCAAAAAATTAGAAATTGAAGAGGTGCCCACCAGCTGGGGAATGACTGAACAATTATGTGATTGTGATGGAATTCTATTGTGCTATAAGAAATGACAGGCAGGATGATTTCAGAAAAAACCTGGGAAGACTTATAAGAACTGATAAAAAGTGAAGTGAGCAAAGTCAGGAGGTCATTGTACACATTAAGAGCAATACTGTATGATGATCAACTGTGAATGACTTATATTCACAGGAATAAAATAATCCAAGACAATTCCAAAGGATTTGTGATGAAAAATGCTGTCTCACCTCCAGAGAAAGAAGTGGAGTATGAAAGCAGATTGAAGCATACTTTTTTTACTTCATTTTTCTTTCTTTTTGGGGGGGGGGTTTGTGTTCTCTTTTTCAATATGGCTAATGTGGAAATGTTTTGCATGACTTCATATGTATAATTTATCCCAAAGTGCTTGCCTTCTCAAGGAGGGGGAAGGGAAGGGAGGGAAGGAATTTGGAGCTCAAAAATTATATAAAAAAAGAATGTTTAAAACTGTTTTATCTTCTTTACATCATGACTAATGTGAAAAATGTGCTTATATCAGATTGCATGCCATCTTGGAGGAGAAGAGGGAGGGGGAGAAAATTTAAAACTCAAAAGCTTATGGAAGTGAATGCTGAAAACTAAAAAGAAATTAATTACAAAACTGTTTTACATATAATTGAGAAAAAATAAAATTATTCTTTCAAAAAAAGAAACAAAAAAAATTTCTAGAAATGAAATCCTTCTCCTTGGCTCTAGTAAGCTCACTGGACTTTAGATTCTTTACATAGATTTAGAGCCAGAAGGGGATTCAGATATAAGTTAGTCCAACCTTCTAATTTTATAAGATCAGGAAACTGAAATCCAAAGTCAAATGATGTGCTCAAGATAATAAACTGCAGAGCCCACTATCCTGACTCCCAATCCAGCACTCTTTGCAACTCAAGAAATTCCATCATCATCATGAGCAGATTTGTCCACATGTAGCGGATAGAGCCCTAGACTTTAGCAAGTTCAAATCTTGCCACAGGCACTTCCTAGCTATTGTGACCTTGGGCAAGTCACTTAACTGCTCTCTGTGACTTCCCCAGCTGTGAAACTGGAATAACAGCACTTACCTCACAGGTGTGAGGATCAAATGAAAAAACATTTGTAAAATCCATTGCAAACTTAAAAGTTCTACATAAATGCTAGCTATTGTTATTATTGAACAACTAGGTGGTCCAGTGGATAGAGTTCAGGGCCCGGAGTCAGAAAAGACCTGAGTTCAAACCAGGCCTCATATATTTACTAGCTGTGTAATCATAGGCAAGTTACTTATCCTTGTTTGCCTCAGTTTCCTCATCTGTAAAATGAACTGGCAAAGCAAATGGCAAAATGCCCCAGTATCTTTGCTAAGAAAACACCAAAAGAGGTCACAAAGAGTCAGACACAACTGAAAATGACTAAACATTGTTACTACTACTACTACTACTACTACTACTACTACTACTACTACTAGTGCTACTACTACTACTATTATATATTATATATATATATACATATTATTATATATTACTAATATTACTATTACTATTATAAGCCAAGGAAGACAAGACAAATGAGGCACAGTATTCTGAGGATCATAGGGGAGGGAATGCTATTTCCAACCCAGCTGATGGGCTCTACCAATTACCTGATAAGATTCTTGTCTAGATGCTACTTCCCAAATCTAGTAACCAAACCTGTCTCTGTCACACACACACACCCCAAAATGTTAAAAGGGGTATCATTTACACTTTCAGGTGAGTCTAACCATGTTGGGACAGCTCTGAACCAGCCCTTGATGACGCAAGGAAAGCCACTACCTGATGGAGAAGAGCTGTTTTACTCAACCACCATTTCAAGAGAAGCTGTGAAACATAGTGTGGAAGGGATGTGTGACTGACTGTGTGGAGAGCTGGAGCATATGGGGCCACTACTGCCAAAAACCAAAGCCAGAAAGATAAAGAAATCTTGAGTACCAGGATAAAACACTTCGATGAAATTCTTAACATCCTACTGTCCCTTAGAGCCTGCCAAGTGGCCTGCTTAGTCCCAGTCCTGAAGCATGATATACTAGTGTACCCACTGACCCATTTTCAGAGAATACATGCCAAATACTTCAAGATGAATATTCCTAGGAAAAAAAGGTCATTGTTCATTCAAAACATTTGGAAATAAGAACAGCACCATAGCCTGGAGTGGCTTAAAAATCTATGCTCTGACCCACAAATACTATCAGATATTATTTATGCAGACTTTCTTTGGATCTAGCAAGGCAGAGCCCCAAATAAGTAGATTTATTAGGAAAGAAGTGACAAGAGCAGAATTGGTCCCCAAGTGTGGGATATAAGAGGTTTGTTTCTTTCAAGATAGGAGAAAATTGGCAATACTTGAGCCTGGTAACATACAACAAGAGTGGTCTGATTATTTTAACACCTGGTACTAGAAGTACGACCCACTGTTAGTGAACAGTCAGTGGTGGGCATTCTGGAATGATGTAGAGCAGCTATCAGACTTTCCATTCACTGTTTATAGGAACAAAATAAAAAGAAATCCACAAAAAGCCATGAACTCCTTAAATGCAGCTCTAGACAGGACACCAAAGGCAACAGCATCCAAAAGGACCTGGGTTCAAATTCTGGTTATGACACTGCTGTGTAAATATGAGGCAAATCAGTTAACTACCTAGGAAGTGGGAGGGTGAGGAGATCCATTGAAAATGGAAAAAATACTGCTTGAACAACCTATTGCACAGAGCCAAGTTTTATATACTGTGAAGTATTATATAAATGTGTATTATTGTTGTCATGACTGTATTTGGGTTTTCAGATAACAAAAAACACAACTGAAATTAACTAACAGGCCAAGCAAGTACAACCAATGGGCATTAGGAGTCTACTATGTGCAAGTGACTGTGAAATGCCATAAACAAGCAACAACAAGTATAGAAAAATCAGAGTTAAAATTAGTTTTTTCAGTGATTATACTCATACATGTACATGTTCTTCCCCCATTAGAATGCAAACTACTTGTGAGCTGGGATTGTTTCATTCATTGTATTTATATCTCTAGCACGCAGCACAGGCTCTGGCATGTAATAATTAATAATTGCTAATAAGAACTAATAAAGATTAAAAGGCAGAGGCAGTATAAAGAGTAAAATCATACTTCTCCACTTTTTTACTCTATTGAGAGTATTAACAGTTCTTTGGACTCAGCACTAAGGCCATCCAAGACCATCTACAGGAATACTAAGTCACTTCTCACATCTATTATGTGATTATATATACATACATACATAGATTAGTGAGCAATCTCTGCCTTCAGCCCCCACCTCCTTCCAAAGTCCCCAAGTAAAGCCAACTTTAAAAAGCCCTGGGAAACAAGCTTCTAAGAAGATGAAGATATGTGTTCCATGAAAAGCCTAGGAATATTTACCAACTATCTTTTACCTGCCTCTTTCCCTGTTCCTTCCCCTGGGTGCCTCCTGTTTCCCATGCTTCAAGGTACAGAGATGAGTACTGCATTCCAACTTGGGATCTTGGGTTCTAGAGACAGAAGGAATCTTAGAGATCATCTAGTCCCACCCCCTCATAGATGAGGAAAATGCTCCAGTAGTAAGCAGCAGGGTTGTGATTGAAATCCAGGTTCTCTGATTCCAAATCCAATTACACCACACTGCCTCCTTATATCCAGGTTCTAGAGAACCCCTATGTAAGAAAGAGCATTTGTTGTTCAGTCGTTTCAGTTATGTCTCACTCATTGTGACCCTATTTGGGGTTTTCTTGGCAAAGATACCGGACTGCTTTGTCACTTCCTTCTCCAGCTCTTTTCAACAGATGAGGAAACTGAGGCAAACAGGGTTAAATTGATTTGCCCAGGGTCACCCAGCTAGGTAGGGTCTAAGGTCAGATTTGAACTCAGGAAGATGAATCTTCCTGATTTCAGGCTCAGCACTCTATCCACTGTGCTACCTAGCTGCCCTAGAGAAATAGCGTAGACAGGTGAAAAAGCACTGACTTTGGATTCAAAGCACCTGGATTCAAATTCTGCATCTGATGCTTACTATCTGTGTGACCTTGGGTAAATCAATTAACCTCCTCTGGCTTTAATTTCCTCACCTATAAAATAATGGTATTGGACTAGATGGTCTTTGAGGCCCCTCCCAGCTCTGGATCTCTGATCCTATCTCTCATCCTAAACCTAAACATTTATTAGCCAACTACTATGCTCAGAGAGAACATGTTACACACATACAAGTAACTATAATACAAATAATAGTTGAGCAGCTAGGTGGCAAAGTGGATAGAGTGCAGGGCTTGGAGTCCGAAAGACTTTGTAACCCTGAGCAAGTCACCTAATCTGGTTTGCCTCAGTTTCCTCATCTGAAAAATTAGCTGGTGAAGGAAATCGCAAATCGCTTCAGTATCTTTGCCAAGAAAACCCTAAATGGGGTCACAAAGAGTCAGGCATGACTGAAACAAATGAACAACAATAACAACAAGTTAAGAGACCTTGCAAAGTGCTCGTGGAAGAGAAGGGAGGGAGAGATTAGGGAAGGTTCCCTAGAAGAGGTGATATTTGAACTGGGCTTGGAAGGATGCAGAGAAGACAGGGAATTGGAAAGGTACAGAACATGTATATGAACAAGGAGTCCAGTTTGGGTGGCTCATAGAGGAAATAAAAAAGAGCCATATGAAATAAGGCTGGAAAGATAGTATGGTGCCAGGTTGTGGAAGACGTCAAATGCCAGGCTTACAAGTTTCAGCATGTAAACTACTCAGTAACCAATAGGACACTACAGGTTTTTGGCCAGAGACGTGATACGAACAGCTTTATGCTTTAGGAAGGATGGGCTGAAAAAGGATAGAAGGTAAGGAAAGAATACTTGTTAAACTACTGCAACAGTTCAGGCTGGTGATAATGAAGAAGTGGCATCAGGAACAGAGAAGAGGGGTCAGATGTAAGAGATGCTGCTGAGGCGCGATTGATAAGAACTGGTAACTGAGAGGCCAAGGACAGGAAGGAGCAGAAGATAACAGCAGGATTTCTAAGATGGGAGTCTAGGTGAACAGTGGTATTGGTGGCAAAAATAGTGACATCAGAAAGTTTAGGGAAAAGATAAACAGCTCAGTTTTAGACCCACTGAGTTCCAGGTGCTGGCAAGAAAACCTGGTAAAGATGTCCCCTAAGCAGTAGAGATGTCTTTCTGCAGTGTGATAGAGAAGTGAGAGCTCTGTCATCTGTATAGAGGTGATAGTTGAAGGGATGGGGCAAATCACTCTAACCCAGAGGTGGGGAACCTGGGGCCTCTAGGCCACATGTGGCCTTCTAGGTAGGTCCTCAAGTTCGGCCCTTTGACTGAATCCAAACTTCACAGAACAAATCCCCTTAATTAAAAGGGTTAGAGTCAAACCCTTCTCTGATTAGTAATAAAGCTCTAGCTTCTAAGAAATCCTGCAGGTTACTTGTTTTGGGCCTTTCATTTACTTCTGATCTCCCTGGAGAAGTCAGCACCCACTCACCTGCCTTCAAGAAACTAAACTATTTTAGACCGTACTGTTACTGCCTCCACTTAACTCAGAACTGGCTTAGTAGATTTTATGTGGATAGTTCCAGAAGAGGTGGAAGGGGGGAATGACAGAATTTGCAACCGAAGAAAGCACAGTTTACTTTAAAGGAGGGTTGGAGAAGATTGCATCCAGCTTCCTCCTGACAATCTTGCTTCTACAGCAGAATGAAAGAGAATAAATGTGTAATGCCTGTTGCTGAATGTCGAACGTTTGTCTACCTCCTGCAGTTCCAGAATTCGGGAGCTGGGGCCCAGGCTCTTCAGCAACAATTTCCCCCTCTGAAGATGTGAACTGAATCGTGGGGGTGGGATGGGTTCAAGACTCTCTCGAATCTAGATCGAGCTCTAACGCTACCAACACCTAAAGGGCTGGCCTTGGGCATCCCAGCCAAGGGTTCTCCACTCCTCCTCGGCCCCTGCAGCGCCTTCTGCTAGTTGAGCTTTGCGAACCCCGGCCGGCCGAAGCTGTAGTGACTTGCGGGGTTTACAGTCCCGAGGGTTCCCCACTATGTGAGGAAGCTTCAACAGCTTCGGCTAGTTTCCAGGAACAACAGAGAAGTCGAGGACCATCCGAGTGCAACAGTCTCCAAAGACGCAGAGAAGCAAACCTTCAATGTTCCCCGCCGCCTTCCCCTATCCCCACCCCCAAAGAGCCTCCGGGTCCAGAGGAGCCCACACGGAGTCTCTAGGAGATAATGACCCGACACAGACAAGCGTGTCTGCAGATGAAAGCAAGGAAGGGAAGAGAACCTTCCCCCACAGGAAAGAAAATTCGGCAGATCACATCAGACGATTACACACACACACACACACACACACACACACACACACACACACACACACACACACACACACACACACACACACACACCCCACACACAAAACAAACAAGTTTAAACAAGCTCTCAGAAGCAAGCTGGGTTCAGTGCAGGCAGGCAGGCGAGACTGACTCACTAGTTGGGATCCGCGAGAAGCGTTCAGTAAACTGCCCCAGCCAGGGGCGCAAGCATCTAGCGGGGGGTGGGGGGCAGAGAGGAAAGCAGGGAGCCAGGAGGGCAGACTTGGGACGGGAGATGGAGAGGGAAAAAGTGAAGGGGTGTCGAATTCCTTCTATCTGGAAACATTTCTCCCCCTGAAGCCTGTAGGAGGGGGTCCTTCCCGTCCCCGACCCCCAAATCTTCCATTCCATTGATCCTAATCTCCAATAAGCTCTAAGACTGTCAGCCCAACCCCCAAAACGATGGTTAGCCCAAGAAATGCCGCCCTCCTCTCTAGCAGCCTCCTTAGCGTCTCGGGTTGCTTCTCAGTCCGACTAAACAAAAGAGCAAATTTAAATTGAGTGGGTCGGCAGCAGTAACATTTTTTCCATAGTTTCCCCTGCACTACGGACGCGCTTAGATCTAACGGGAATCTCCCCCCCCAGTTGGAAATCCAAGCTTTTAACTCTACAAGGAAGACAGAGGATAGATAGGAAATCTACTACTCTGGCTGATTACACTGGGACTGCTGGAATCTGAGAACAGCGAACCCCAAACACAGGAATACACTGCAACAAAACTTCTCCCTCACTGTCTGGGTTGCAGAGGGGGTCCCTCAATCCCCATCGCGGTTGCAGAGGAGGTCGCACATTCCTCGGATTCCCCAGCACAACCCGGGAGGGGAAAGGTGGACCTGTTACTTGATCTCAGAAACATCAAAAGAGCGCAAAAAAAGTTGTCACTAATAATTCTCTCGCCTCCCACTTTCCTAAAGTCACAAAACGCCAAAGAATCTCCATTCATTTGCAAGAGAGAAAGAGGGAGAGAAGGCTGGATCAGGACTGGGGGCTGGCATTCAGCCTTGCTTACCTTACTCTTGACTTCCACTGCGTTGCAATCGAAAAACCGCAGACTCTGAGATTTATTAAAACTCCGATTCATTTTTTCGGTCCCAGTTATCTCTATTCTTCGCCCTTGTTCAACAAGGGCTACAAAAAGCTTATCCTTCTGTGGGAAAGCGCCCCCCTCCCCCTGCCTGTGGCTGGTCCCCCGACTACAGGCGATTTTATCTTTCTTTGGAACACTGCAGCCCCGAGAGAAGTCTCTTCTTTGCCCCAGCGTTCTAATTGGAACGCTCGCCTCAGTCTCTCCGCTCTCCCCAGGCTTCAGTAGGTAAAAATCGCCCGAACAGGGCTCACAGCGCGCCGTGACTCAATGGGAAGAGAAGCTAGGAGGGAAGACGCCTGCACGTATTGCTCCGCCTCACTGGAGACCCCGCCCCCCTTTCTCTCCTCCCCTTCATCATTCCATTTCTCTGGAGTCTGGAAGTTTGCTGCTGCGGCGGCTGCTGATACCGCTGCCTTAGCAGGCTCCTCGCCGGCAGAGGACGCGCTCTGTTGTCAGCAATTCAGTGGCGAAATTCCTGAACGCGAGGCAAAGCCACACAAAGCTCTGGAAACTGCAAACCGGGTTTTCTAGCCAGTGAAATTTGCACCGCACCATGGAACACCTATCGTGGCCAAGCTTCCTGGCTTTAGCGACCCCGCGAGATTCTAGTGTCTACTGGGCTTTTGTTTCCTTTCGTCAACCCC